TGTTACTTGTTGGTCCAAAACAACCATTATTCACACCAACAACATAGACCTGGTACTGTTGTCCACACTGTGGACCTGTTATCAAGCAGTCGGTGTTTGTGGTGTTACAGGACCACTTTTGGCCATTGTCACCCTCAGCCATAGCCATGTAAGAGACAGAGCCTGCTGAAGCCTGCCACAACACTGAGATGCTGGTTGAATCACAGGTGGCAGTGGCAATGGCATCAGTGGGAGCGCACGGGGCTAAGGGGGAAAAAAAAGTTTTTCTATAACAGAAAAGCTTGCATAATACATAATGAGTGTATTGGTGAATTCTGAAAGCAGTCCAGTCTATGCGATCTGTGTATTTTACCTGTGAGGACCTCCTGCCACCAGTTGGCTTGACGCATACAGGTATGTCCCTCTCCGGTGACGCTCACCATGTAGCTGTGTCCACAGAGCAGGGAGGTGATGTTACAGGAAGAGGCGTCAGTGGAGCAGGACTGGTTGTGTGCAGAATCGGAGTCAATAGCCCTGGCAGTGTAAGACAGCACGCCCCTTCCAGGGGTCCAGGACATGACGGCTGTGTTGCTGTCACAATCCAGATTGACCTGGAGTTCAGTGTGTGGGCAAGGGCCTACACCGAGTAGGAAAAATAAAAAATATTGCCTATGTCATGGTCATGCACTGAACATTATTCCTTCTGTTTGTATTTAGACAGGTAAAGAAAATTCTTTATCATTTGGACATTTTAAAATCTATTGAGATTGAAATTATTAATTTCCCCTTAACCTGTGAAAATATATGACTGTAGTTTCATTACCTGTGGTTACACTGATGGACTCACTGACCAAACTGTTACAGGATCCACGGTGAGCCACTACAGTGATGATGTAGTCCTGTCCACATTGTAGGTCAGCGAAATCCCAGGTAGTGACCGGGACATTTTTATCAGTGGAGTGACCAAGACTGCCTTCGGCATAGACTGTGTAAGATGTTGCACCAAGTGCAGCATCCCATGTAACTGTGGTGACATCGGTCCAGCAGTCCACATTGCTTTGAAGATTGGTAGGAACGCATGGAGCTGATAGAGAGCATTTGGAAATATTAGAGAAGGTACGTGATTAAATTATATTCAGTAAAAAAAATATCAGCTCTCCCTATAATGCAATTCATTCATGTTTTCTCTTTTTCTTTGAGTCAGTTGGAGAGACTGAAGGTGGAGAACAGTGGACAATTGACTCAGTAGGTGGCAGTAATGCACGCAAAGTTGCAAAACTGCCATTAAAACCCAAAGGAGAAATGTGAGGGCTGCACGAAGGTTAAGCTTAAGGTAGACAAGCTTTTGAAGAGCTTTTAAAACTTTTTTTGCTTTTACATTTTCATTAGGGGTGAAAGAAAATTTCGATACACTGAAGTATTGCATTTCAAGATAGTGATATTCTACTGCAATGTATCAACTTCTATTAACAATTAACATGCAAATATTCATGGCGTTGGTTCATTTTATTTTTGCTATAATTTCTTCTCTTATCATTGCAGATGTAGATCCAGGTGTTCCAATTTTGGTAACCTAATGTTAAGCATGAAACAGCATTGTGTCAGTCCCTACAATTGAATTGTTAAAAAACTCGAAAAATAAATCGTTGTGCATGTAATATCGCAGTATATCGCAATATTTCAAATCATTGCTCTTATATCATATCACCAGACACGTGTCACAGAGGAGGATATAACAAACAGAAGCAAAATGCTCTAACCATATCTTTTTTGATCCAGAGCATAAAATTTAAAAGTAAAATTCTGTAAAATGTGTAAAATTTACAGCAGTGTCTTTGCAACCAATTTATATTTCTAATAATTTCCCTTCTAGCACCCAATGCCATAGTCTTTTCCTAACACAAGATGGGATTTCTGTTATTTCTGCAGACACTGCATGAAGAATCAGTATAAGCGCAGTCCTTTCTGAAATAAGATCATAGACCTATTGTTTATATAGTGGCCTGTGTTCAATTCTTACCTATGTTCAGTGTTATGGTCGCAGTTGGTTCACTGCTGCACGAATCTGTTCGACTGTCCACGCTGATAGCATAGGTCTCTCCACAGATCAGGTCATTCAAGGTACAGCTGAGGCCACCAGAGCTGCAAGTGGTGATATCTCCTTGGCTGTCCACTGCATTCACTTCCTGAACCTGGTTTGGTCCTGTATCTTTCCACGACACTACTGCCATGTTACCACTGCATTGTGGGTCCACCATCACATTGGTTGGTGTACATGGGGCTGGGGATTTGGAAATAAGTAGCAGAAAATGCAATTAAGTAAAAAAAGAAAGAGAAAAATGTGATGGCAAATATTCCTTCAGAGACAAACTTGTTTCTCTCTTGGTACCTGTCTGCAGTGTGTAGTCTGAGCCATCAATGGTGCCGCAGTTTACCGCTGGTGTCGTGACTACAATGCTGTAGGTGAGGCCACACTTCAGGTTCTGGATGGTGCAGGACGTGGTGGTCGTATCACAAGTCTGGCGGGTATCGTCACTGCCGATAGCAATGGCAGTGTATATGCTAACATCATTAGAGCTCCCACTCCACTGCACTGCGATGGAGTTATCACTGCAATCCAGAGCTGCATTTACATTCTCTGGAAGACATGGAGCTGCAAGAAAAGATTTTATGAAGGCTTATGTACTGACGACAGACAATGGTGCTGCAGATTAACAGACATACAGTAGTGCATAGACAGTGACGGACCTATTAGAACACAGTCAAAAGAGTCGGTGGAAAAGGGTTAACATATGATTATTGTTTTCTCAAACCTCCACTATATCAAATTATCACATCAACTTTTATTATCATTATCATATCAACTTTTTATTATTATTTTTTCCATCTATCCAGACCAGTTTTTTATCATTGTGCTCAAGTTTGATGTTTTGTGTTGTGTCTTTGTGTTTTACAAAGAAATATATGAAGATTGCACCTGTTCTAATTATAAATAAATGTACTGTAAATATAAATAAAAAAGAAGAAGGTTTTGTTTTACCTGAGTCAAATGTCAGTGGTGCTGCCGGAATGCTGTCACAAGTGGCACTAGTGGCAACAATAACAGCAGTGTACTGACGTCCACAGTCTAACTTCGCCGAGCAAGTTGTTGTGTTGGAAGTACACTGTACTTGGTGACCGTGATTACCAGTTAATGAAACTGTGTAGGAGACGGCGTTTGGACTCAGCTCCCAGGTCATTATGCCCAGATTTGTGCCACACTCAGCAGTGGCCTGTAGATTTGTTGGTGAACATGGAGCTAGCAGATGAGAAAAAATAAAGAGTAATTTTAGTCAATCACATGATCCCAACTTGTATTCTATGCATAAAGCTTCTTAAATCATCCATACGTACATTCAGAAATGTCTCATGGTCATTTTTGCATTTTCTACACTAATGTTTAGGGCAGACAGCTTCAAAAAAACAATAAGTAATATACTGTGCTAAATATACACTGCCAGACATATTGTCTTGATCATCATCATCTTCATCATCAAAGCAGGCAGACATATACTGTACGGACACTAACCTGTTTCTACTTCAATCAGCTCGCTCAAAGCGCTGTTGCACTCTGAATCCTTAGCAGCCACTTGGAAGCTGTACTGCTGACCACACTGCAGGTTTGTGAGTTCAAAAGATGCCTGGTCGGTAAAGTGGTTGATACTGGTACCACCAACTCTTTCGTACGTGAGGAGGTATGTCACACCAGTCACAAGGATGGGTTCCCAGCTGACTGTAATGTCATTGTTGCCACAATTTGTTTCTCCCACCACACTGGATGGAGGGCAGATGGCTGAAAATGGATCACAATACAAAGTTATTTAAAAAAAATATTGTGTCAATAACAACGACTCTGAAAGGTCTAATACTTTGAACAGTACTGGAATTTGTTTATTTCTTTTTTTCAGTCGTGATGATGAATAAAACAGTTCACACATGATGTAGAACATCGATAGTCATATTTTCTACCTGTTTGGAGGACAAAAGGGAGGCTGGGGTTACCACGACAACCGCCCAACACTGTGACCACTTTGATGACCGTTGTCACTCCACATTCCAGGTCTGTTAGAGAACATCCTAGGCCAGTGGACGTGCATGTGTGTTCGTGATTATCCATGGCTATGACCACATATTCTTCTGCACCTTGCACAGGATTCCAGCTCACAAGACCCAAGTTACCCTCACACTGCAGTGAGGCTTGAACATTGGTGGGAGGACAGGCAGCTGTAAAACAAGAGATAGAACCATAATGATTTAGTTGAGAGAAACCAAATACCTTAAATCATGTTTAATATTGTATGACATAAAAGTAAGACTAAAATTGCCAGGTAAACATTTAAGTTAGTTAGCCGTGTTTGAAAATGTGCACTACTTTTGAAATAACAAATTACAAATCAGTGAGAAGGAATCCATGTTAAAGGGCAGCTATTGTTCTTACCTGCTTGTAATGTAAACTCAGCGCTTGGTTCACCCCTGCACTGACTAGAGGACGGAGTGACAGTGACAGCATAGTTCTGGCCGCATTTTAACTCTGACAGGTTACAACTAGTGTCAGTGCTGGAACACTCCTTTGTGTCTCCATCCCCAGCCACCGCTGTTACAACGTATGAAAGTACATCGACATTTTCCTTCCAGGTCACAACTCCAGTGTTGCTGTCACACAGTAGGGTAGTGTTGACATCTTCAGGGGGACAGGGGGCTGATGGGCAACACAAGAGAAGAAACATTGAGCTTGTGTATACATAAATATATATATATATATACACACCAGTTTACGTGCCACCTCAAGGGTCTTACCTGTCACTATCTGTGCTACCCCCGGCACATTGCTGTCACAGTGCGTAGCTTTAGCTGTCACAGTCACATCATATGTGCTTCCACAACGCAGTGAAGAAACGGTGCACGTAAGATCCGGGCTGACACAGGATGTTTCATGTTCTGCAGACTGCAGTACGACGTGGAACTCCTCTGTTCCCAGTGTGTCGTCCCAAGTGACAATAGCTTCGTTATCACAGCTGTATGTGTATTGCACATTTGTCGGTGTGCACGGAGCTACACAAGAGAGAAGCACAGTCATAATCAAATAAAATAAAATCACTACACATACAAATTTGCTTTACAGAAGTAGCCAACTTGCCATGTTTTTACAGCAACCTCGAAGAACCATTGTTTTTCACCAAAACTTTATTTAAGGCAAACTTTACGTCTCAGTTTGAAGTCTAACCACGAGCTGGCACTAATCTTCAAAACTGCCCTCTACATATTGTAGTTAAATATAGCAAACGTTAACTGAACACTCATCTAAACATGAAGGAATAAACAAGGTAGCTTATAGATACCATTCTTAAGTAGACTTCCAAAAGCTAATGAAAAAAAATACAGAAAAGGGACTTGTCTTATTAATATAAAAATGCAAAAAAAGTTATTATAACTTTCTATTAAATTTCAGGCTAAATAATTGTACTACTGCTATTTGAATTAACCTTGAAAGAAAGGAATAATTTAGTGACATCTAGTGTTGAGGTAATTTACTGTAACCAATTGAATATATGAATTGAAGGGAAAATGTTATCTCCAGTCCTAATTCTGTATATCCGGGACCAGTACCATAACTTACCAGTGACAATGGTAGTTGTTGTGCTTGAATCACTCAAACAGTTGGCTCCTTGGGCAGCAGCCTGGACATTGTAGGTGTGTCCACACAGTAGACCCTGCAGAATACAGCTGGTGTCTGACGAGGAGCATGAAACGGTGTCTCCATTGTCCTGTGAAGTTGCTGTGACTGTAACACTCTCAGCATTTGCATCCTCATCCCAGATCACCAAGGCCGTGTTAGAGACACAGTCCACCTCATGACTGGATATCACTGGAGCACATGGAGCTAGAAAAGGAAAAAAAATCACAAACACTGTTTGCTTAATTTCAGCTTACATCATAAAAGTTTAGCTTAATGCATAAAATCCTTGTCATCACAAAGATCACATAAAGTTCAATCTGAACACATAACTAATACCCTAACAATAATAATAATGATAATAGCAATAATATTTTACAAAGATATTCCAAAGAAATTTCTGAAGTAATTCAGAAGTGTGTGAGGTTGTGGTCTTCAATTACCGGTGGTCACGTGAGTTGTGGCAAGTAGAGAGCTGTTGCAAGTCCCATCCCCTGCTAGTACGATTATTGTGTATTCCTCTCCACACTGTAGCTTGGTCAGGTCACAGGATGTGCTTAAAGATATGCAGGAGTCAAAGTGTCCGTTAGCCTCAGCCACGACTGTGTAAAGCTCTGCTCCAGCACCGGCTTCCCATGTCACCGTTGCAGCACCAGTAGAGCAGTCAATGTTCGTGTCCACATTTGAAGGGTCACAAGGTGCTGAAAAGTGATTATTACAAATTTACTCATTTCATGACATGATGCAAAATGACAACAAAGTATGGTTGGTCAGTCAATAATACATTTTGATGAAAAATGCTAATAGATTAAAAAAAAAAGTTACACTCATTTCATACTTGATTTGCCAGCAAAATGTTTCCCTGATTTCAATATATATATATACTTATATTTACCAGTGGGCTTTGTTACTGCATCACTGTAAAAGCTGTTACAAGTGTCGCTCACAGCAACCACACTCAGTGTGTATGTCTCTGCACACTGAAGATCATGGAAATCGCATTCTGTGCTATGTGTGGCACAAGAAGCAGTAAAACCTCCCTCTCCGGTCAGGGTGGCATTAAATGACACGTCACATGTTGGGCATGGTGCATCCCAAGTAGCATGTAAGGTGTTAGTGGAACAAACCACGGCAGCTTGGACATTTTCAGGAACACAGGGAACTAAGAGGAATATAAGACAGAGGAGGTGAGAAGATAAACGTTTTTAACTGTAAGAAACAATGTTTAAAATGTATGCCCATTTTGTTAAAGTTTACATTACAGAAAATGTATGGATGTAGTAAAAGAAAACAGAGAGATGGTTGGTGTAATGGTAGAGAAGCAGACAAATTAAGAATAAAAGACAGCAATAATAAGAAAAAGTAAATAAAAAGTATACAAGAAAGAAGAAAAATAAATAGAAAACATACCAGAATCAACTGTCTGTGCAACACTGCTTTCCCCTTCACAACGGCCACTGGCAGCTTGGACTGTCACTGTGTACTGCTCTCCACACTCCAGACCAGTCACTGCACAAGTAGATTCTTCTGTAGTGCAACTCAGCGTGTTTGAATCCCCATCCTGGGCGGTGACGCTGTAGGTAAGAGGCATGGATCCAGGCGACCAGCTGACGATGAGGGAGTTGCTGCTGCAGTCTACGTGACTAAGCACATCCTGAACAGTACATGGAGCTAAAACAGCAAAAAGAAGATCGGGCAGATTCTTCATCACAAAGATCTCAACAGAACTACAAGACACTTAAGGATATAGGAATAACACAGAACACTAGTACATGATACAAAATACAAACGCTAAATGTATACAGCAATAGTGTTGCAAAAGTGTATTGTAAATAATTAGGTCCTCTTGGAAAATGTACTTCGAACAGGTAAGTATTTTCTAAGTGCTTTTGTGCAGAGCTGTCAGATTTTACTCTACTGATACTAGCCAGCTTTAAATGCATACTATCTCTAAATAAGCCTTCAAATAACCACATTTTGCAAAACCAAAGAATAGAAAGGTTAAGTCAAACCAATTTTAATTATGCATGAAATGTTAAACAATTTACACTTCTGAAAAAAAGTTGTAATGTTGTGGTAAAAATGTCCCACACTGCAAAGAAACACGTTTAATACTGAAAAATAAATGAAAAGAGAAAAAAGCAAAAAGTTTTTTTTTTAAAAAAAGGGATAAGTCATAGTTCCCATGCTTCTGCTTATGTCCCTTTCACTCACCAGTGCTCAGGATGACTGGATCACTGTCAGGAGTCTGGCAGAAACCATCTGAGGCTGACACAGTGAAGTTGTACTCCTTGCCACAGTGCAGACCATCTATCTGGCAGGTGACCTCTGTTGCAGTTTCACAGAGCACAATGTGCCCATCTGGAGACTCTGCTTTGCCAGTGTACGACACAGCATTCTGGCTGCTGCCCCAGGTTAACACTGCAGAGTTGCTGCTGCTGCAGTCCATGGAAACGGTAAGTTCAGTTGGAGGGCAGGGTGCTGAGCAGGAAGCACACAGGACAGTTGGAAAATACAAAGTGACATCAGACATTTATTCATTTATTCAGATTGTTTGTACCTGTGATTTGTTGCACCTGCGGACTCTCTGGGCCACTACAGGTGTCATCTGTGGCGGCCACACTGATGCTGTAAACCTGGCTACAACTTACACCCTCAACGTCACAGGACGTCTCATTGGACACACATTCCAAGTGACTTCCGTCGTTACCTACAGCAGTAACAATGTAATTTTTGGCTCCTTGGCTTGCATCCCAGGTCACTTCCATAAAACTCTTGCCACAGTTTCTCTCTGCCACAACATTGGTTGGTGCACATGGTGCTGGAGGGGACAAAACAGTGTCCAATAAGTACGGTTTGAGGCATGTGTCACACACAAGTTTACAGATGATGACAAAGTGTCTGGATTAAGTTAGGGCTACAGAACTTAATCATTAAAATTTGACCCATATTTTTCAGAAGTGATTCAGTTTGAAGACATAGCATTTTATCATCAAATATTATGTAACACAATTTAAGAGATTATAAGCAATGGAATTCTTTATGTACACTGTCATGTTATCAACTAACTCATCAACTTAGCATAAACATACAACAAAAGAATTTGGTATAAAAGGCTAATACCTGCGATGAGTGCAACATCTTTCTATGGATACATCAATGATGGATTCACAACAGGCTAGATGCTACAATTTTACTTGGCAAAGACAAAGTACAGTAATATCTGCCATTACTCTCCCTGAACAGCAGGGTCTAAAGATATTGAATCATGGGCCTGTTTCTCTCAATTACACATAGCAACTGTTGTCAAGAAAACTGTTTCTTTTTTACAAACTAAGCGTCTCTTACCTTCACTGACGGAAAAGACAGAGGGAAAGCTGACACAGGACAGACTCTTGGACACCACGCTAACTGTGTACTGCTGTCCACAGTCCTGAGCAGCGATGGTGAGCATGGGTTCGGTTATTTCGTGACTTGTCTCAGCGGTGCCATCTGAGACCACCGCTGTGTAACCCACTACATTGGGGGATGGATCCCAGCTGACAGTTATACCACCAGATGCACAGTCCACATCTGCCTCCATGTTGGCCGGCCCACAAGGAACTAGACATGAGAATAGTAATGAAGTGAGTGTAGAGCAGCTTAGACAGACTTTGGATTCTGACTCCAACACTAGTGTTGTTTTCATGACTTCTTCCTGCTTAGTGAGGATAGTTTACTAATCCAGTATAAAACCAGGTGGTTTAAAACAGTCGTCCCCAACCTTTTTTGTACCAAGGACCGTTCAGCCGGTACCAAATTATCTTTGGACTGGTACGGGTCCACAGTCTGGGGGCGGTTGGGGTACCTGGTTTAAAACACTATAATCTGAAGTACAACTGCTGGTAATCGGAGTCTCTTTGTGTTTAATTTGTGGGGGAATTACATGGGACTGATATAGTTTTAGAAAAATAAAGTATTTTCATATAATTTTTAAAAATCATGTCCTGTATTATATTGTTCATCATACACATGGTACTTGCAGAGTCAACAATGAGGTAAAAAAAAGGAGATAAGATTTACCAGAATCCAAGTTGAAGACCTCAGAAGGCATTCCAGGGCACATACTGTCATGATGTTGGACAGTGACGGCATAGTTCTTTCCACATTCCAGGTTTTCAATGCGACAGCTGGTTGTGACAGAGTTACAGCTTAATAGTGCTTGTTCATCATCCTCCATGGTGGCTGTGAACGAGCTCATATCAGAGTCATCTTGCCACGAAACTAGTGCCTCGTTGGCCATACAGTCCAGGGTGGCTGTGACGTCAGTTGGTGGGCAAGCACCTGAAATGAAACAGGAACATTACTGCATTCAGCATCGTTTTAAATTCTGTGTTCATGAAGCTCAGAGGTCCAAACTTTTTCTGCAGCCCTCCTTCATTCACACCTTGTGACATTCACAGCTTTTGCTTCAATGCTCCATTGACACTATTTAAAACACTGTATTTCCCATAGAAAACATATTTTCATGGAAAAAATGTGTCAAATGTGTGGGTTTGGTTATATCTACAGTACATGGAATATATTGGCAGACCATGTCTACTCCCCATGTGACTGCAGCTTAAGACTTGCTTTGTAAGGAATTAGCCTTAATACAAGAAAATGTGTCGCAAAGTGTACATATATAATTGCTTGAAAGGGTGAAAATAAGTACTCTACGTTTCAAATGTGGCCAATGCAAAGTTTTTTAAGCTACTTTTTGGCAAAGTAAATCAGGAAGAAGACTGAAGGGCATTTTCAGTACCTGTCTTGCTGGCAACCCTCTCACTATCAGAGCTGTCGCACAAGGATGTGGATGCATAGACATAGACTTCGTAGTCTGTGTTACATTTCAAGTTCTCAATGGTACAAGATATGTCCATGGAGTTACAGCGGTGAATGGTGCCTTCACTATCCTCTGCGATGGCCACATAAAAAATTGCACCATGACTTATGGACCATGTGACTGTGAGGGAGCCAGCTCCACAATCCCTCACTGCTGCAACATTGGTGGGGATGCACGGAACTGTAGAAAAGGGGATCAGATTAATGCAACAAGGGTCGCCAAGACTTTGTCCGTTTTCAAGGCTTCCGTTTTTAACTAACAGATGTTAAGAAACTCTCCTCACCTGTGTCAGGTGAGGACCCAAGTGCAGGCGGACTGGAGCATTCGTCATTAGAAGCAGTGATGTAAATGCTCAAGTACTCCCCACAGGAGACACCAGTCATTGCACAACTGTTGGACACTGAGCTGCAGCTGTATGTAGCATCCTCTCCCTTGTTGCCATAGGCGTTCACCGTGTAACGTAGAGCCCCCTCTGCAAGATCCCATGTGCTGAGCAGGATGTCCGAACTGCATTCGGATGATGTTTGCAGATTTCTAGGAATGCATGGTGCTAAAGACAGAAATTTAAAGTCAAACATGATTCATATTATTGATAAAACATGATTATGGTTGGAATACTGGAGCAAAAGAACAATGAGAACACCAGCATATACATCAAAATACATTGATTCTAAGATGATTTCTTTATGTATTAAATTATTACATACACAAGAAATAAACAGGGTGCACTCACTCCTTTTTAATTCAATTTCTATTTGGTGACATAAAATGCCAGCAAATGTCTGTGGGCATACCTGTTTCGATCTCAACAGCAGCACTTGTTAGACTATGACAGGTCTCTGCTGACTGAGGAGTACTATAGGCAGAGATGACTGTGAAAGAATAAAGCAGGCCACAGTTTGTGTTTGCGAAAACACACATGTTTTCTTCTGTCATGCAAGTCTGGACGGCTCCCTGCAATCATGAAAAACAACGTTTTTAGTACTGCATACTACATATAATGGAAAGTCATTCCAGCCATAGTTGGCACCGAGTTTAGCAACAACCCATATTGAGTAAAGTGTCTCAACTCTGCTCTGCTAAACTACCAGCAGAGAGTACAGTTTGAGGTACTAGAAGACAATGTTGTTCATTTATTTAAAGTTTGCCTCGTCTGGCTAGTTGTTCAATTGTTTCGAAATAGAAGGATTTCTATTACCTTAGAGTCCACTGCTGTGGCTATGTAGTGGTGGCTATTTTCTCTTTCACTCCAGCTGAATGTAATAACATGACTGGCACAGTCTCGATGCAACTGCAGATCCTGAGGTGGACAGGCCACTAGAAGGACATATATAAATGTTACATAAAATGTATACATTAAAGGACAAGAAAGAGAAAGAGAGAGAGAGAGAGAGAGAGGGAGCTAGACAGACAGCTTTAGATATACATACATTCACACTGTACATACAAATATATACAATATATAGACATACATGAATATATAGATAAATATGAGGTTAAAGGAAACAGTAAGTAAAGTGGGTTAAATATTAAATATCAAGATTAAAGAGTGCAAGTGTGTCAATCCCAGTTTCAGGTTAAAACGCCCTGATACTGAATATTAGAGCTCCAGTGTTGCTTTTTCACTGTATGAGGTTTCAGGTTTAACAAAAAACAACACAAGCTCATTCTAACACAAAACAATATGATATTGACGGCGGTGCTCAATAGCAGACCCAGTTTTCAAAGGAGCCACCTAGTGATGCATTCAAATCAACGTGTGAACTCAGAGGACAAACAAAAGCTGAGGGAAAACTAAATGTTGTAAACAGCTCTATTCCCAAATGACCTCTGACTTATTTGACCGAAATAATACTCAACCTCAAGTTAAATTTTATTTTTTAAAATAGGATTTTATATTACTAGACTGTAAGCAGGTGCTTAAACTCTCACATTACATCATGGAATTCTTCTTTTAAGAACCAGTACGTTGTGTAAATATATATTATATGCAAACTCTGAATGAATGATAATTTATGAAATAGAACAGAATAAAAAACTTAACTTCAGAAACAAGGAATGCTTAAATTCTATGTTATTATCAAAGCAGGTCTAAATTAAATATGCTGTTTCCTCACCTATAGGCATCACTCATAAAGTTTTGAATTAACCAGTGGTATGAGTTATTCAAGGCTCTCTCTCAGGTATTAAATAGCTGTATATTTGACATGCAACAGTTAAAAGTTATTAAATCGTATTCGTGAACACCCATGTCACAGTCAACAGCTTAGATGTACACAATGTGACTCTAGGGGTGGGGCTGGTTAGAAATCTGGACCTTTCCAGCAGAATAGAGTGACATGTGAGATGAAAGGATTAACTGCCTGCACAGAATAGGTGGCAGGGCGGAGTAGCAAAAAAGTTCGTCATCCAAAAAATATAATAAGCCTCTGCTCCTCTCCTATTTATTACATAAAAGTCAGATAGTGTTCCTCTCTCCAATGACAAAATTAAATCATATTTCTTTGCCTGAGTCTGGTGTTTAGGTTAGATGTACATTAATTAATCACTTCTGTAAATTAAAAAGATGTTGGATAGGGATGTTGAAATACAAGGCCAATTGTTTTACGGAGAGCAGTGTGAATTCAGGGTAAAGGAGAGTTGATATTGTTGCCGTTTCCCAGGATGTCATTCACCTTTTATTCTGCAGATGTTGGGACTTATCTTATATTATGCCAACCTTGCGCAGTAATGTTTGATTCAGGTGCTTATTTATCCAAGTAAATTTATGTTATTGCTTTCAGACACCATGTCCAGATGGTGTCTGATAAGGTGTGTCAAGCTTGTCCTCAATTTGCTGAATGAAAAAGGGTGCTTACGATGGGTCATTCCTTATCCTCAAATACTACCACACTAAAATGTCCAGGCTTCCTTAAAATGAGTGTCAAGGTTGAATTAATCGTCATTAAAGGTCTAAATTTCATTTATACATAAATACTGTTATAATATTAATATGTCAATACTTATAGGAAAGATTTATACTGCAGCAGCCTGTTGGATTGTTCTCACCAGTGTGGAAAGTGGTTGTTGTGCTCTCCGTGTCCCTGCAGTTCAGAGACATGGGTGTCACATGCACCACATAACTCTGACCACAGCCCATGCCACTGATTTGACAACTGCTGCCTTCGCTTGTGCACGTCAGCTCATCGCCATCATCACCAATTGCCTTTACACTGTAAGAGGTGGCACCAAACACAGACATCCAACTCACAGTGGCAGTGTTGAGGCTACACTTGTAGTTCGCCGTAACTGATGAAACTGTTGCCAGAGCTGCAAGCAACGGACAAGAGTTCTTCTTTAATGGATTATGACACAGGCATCTCATAAAAACAGGCTCTACTTTAGCAACGATAAGATAACTTTTCTTTCAGTCTTGATGCTTAACTGTTTTGATCGTAAGGTGTTTAAGAAATCTTTTTTAACTGCTTTGTTCTCAAGTATATGTTATGATTTTCAATAAATCAAAACGCAGAAAAAGCAATGACCTGTTTCTGTTTTCTCAGCCTAATGTTTACTTGAGAACTTTGACAACAAGTAGGTTGTCAGAACATTATAGTCTTTTTCCCCCTAAGGATCATATTCTGCATGTCTGAAAGGAGAGCCTCAGAGAGAATAGCTGACCTAGATCCTAATCACAGAGGTACTGATATTAATTTAACTCTGCCAACTTACTGTTGGTGCTGTATGTGTAGTTGTTGGGCTCGCTCGGAATCAAAAAAAGGTTGTACGAGGAGACTGATATTAGATAGGTGGAACAAGGGAAGATGTCATTGACATCCAGGTAGACATTTGTAACGTTCTGAACAGTCCGCTGGCTGATGGAATTGGCAATGTTCTGGATGGAAAATTTGTACATCAGGACATCCTCCACGGGCTGCCATGACACCCTAGCTGTGAACTGGCCCGTCTGTTCCACTTTAATAGCCACTGGAGGTTGCACCACTTAAAAAAACACAAAGGATCTAAGTTAGAGAGAAACATTCTTACTGAACAGTTTACATTATTTAAAAGAAGATGGAGCCTACACATGGGATCAGAAACCAAAAATACCACTGCCAACAAATACAAATAAACTTAGATAAGTGTATTCCAATTAGGGGGCTGTTTTAAAATTATGTGTTCTTGTGTGATTAAGAAACAAAAAAGATTTCTTCGAAAAAAAAAAAAAAAAAGTAATGCAATAGAACGTTTGAACCTTGAAATAGTGTTTGTATGAAGTGCTTAGCTTCTATTAGGATGAAGTAAAATTAAGTAATTTAGTGGTAAAAATTTAATAGAAATGGAAGAAAGAAAAACACATATTACTCTTAGATAAATGTCTTATATATGTATATATATATTGATTCAAGTAACAGTGATATCAAAATGCACTTTTGTTCAACAAAGAGAGTTGGCACTCACGGGTGAGGATGGTTCTCACTTTACTTCTTCGTCCCAGGCCAGCACTGTTAGCTGTATAAACGTAGCAGTTATAGTGTGTAGAAGGTTTGAGGTTTTCCACTAAGCCACTGGTTTTAGTGGAGGAGAAGTTTAAGTTTTCCGTCATGCTGTTCTCCTGCACCGTCAGATAGTAGTGCTCCGCTGACGGTACTGATGTCCATTCCACATAAATTGAAGTACTTGATACTGCGTAGCCGACAACTATCTGTGATGAGTCAGGTACTAACAAGAAAGAGCAGAAAGGAAAGCAGAATTTGAAATTTTGTCCTAACTTTAATTATTCTTTAGATATATTCTTTACAAATATATAAATATATATAGACACCGGCTTCTGTACGGTGTTAGATTCACTGTACAAGTGAAGTACCTGTGGATGCCGCAATAGTATCTTCACACAGCACATTAGTAAGAAACTGAAAGACTTTGAGAGTCACAGTATAATTCTTCCCTGGTCTCAGACCCTGGATGTCTTTCTGTGTAGTGGCTGCATTAACAGACACAACGACTGGTGCAATTTGATTGTTGCCTTTCACCCGTAGGTCCAGAAGATAGTTTGTAGCCCCACTGACTCTCTCCCATTTTACCAGAATAGATGAGGGGCCCGAGGCAGTTGCTGATAAAATTTTGCATCCTATAGGTGGAAGAAAAACAGAGATTTAATCAGTAAACTTGACATTTCTGTAAAAAACTAAATACAAAAAATATTTATTTCATAATTCTTATTATATCTTGTAACTCATTGGGTATGTCTGTCTATTATATCATGAGGTATTAAAAAGCAAAAGCAAAAAATTACAATATTTCCTTCGTTGACTTACCTTCTGCCCTACTTGGTATCTGTAAGTAATAACATGTATTTCATTAGTAACTAATAAGAAACATTTGTCCTTTAAATTAGACCACAACTAAAAAATAAAAACAAATAACCTGTACCCACCTGAGTTAGAGTCACCAAGGCTAAAGAAAAGCCTATGGCTCCCAACAATCCCATCTTTGACATTGACTGCACTATTACATTTAGTTTAGTTTACAAGGGAGTCAAATACAAAAGGTGTTCTGGATTCTTTGAGATATAGCCCACTGTGTGTGGGAACCAATCAGTACTGCCCAAATGGGGACAGGCTGTCCCACCAACAGCCCCAGGCGGTCAGAGCTGCCTTGAGAACACAGGAGGAAATAGGGAGGGAGGGAGTGATGCAGGGAGGGATGGATGGATGAGAGTGTGTTTAATTTACCTGTGCTGAGGATGACAAAAGGATCTCTTTTTCCACAATGTTATCTCACACTCGGCTTGTCACGCATCTATTGGTTTCCATGGTCTTTCTGATTTGTTTGTAACAACTAACCAGCTGTCCTTATGCATAAATCTTATTTGTGACTATCTCAAATATTTTGCATATTGGGGTTAATACCTTACAATATTCTGACGTTAAAAAGTAATGAAAGGGAAGCGCAAATGACCACACCAAGAGCCAGCTCTGTCTCAGTTGGCTGTGAATGAGGGGGAATTGGAGGAGAAAGAAGAGACAAGACTGACAAATGGGTGGAGGGTAAAACACTGTCCAAGATTTAGCAATGAAAAAAATAAATGTTCAGGTTGTTGTTGTTATTGTCACTGACATATGTAAGGGAACAAAAAATATAATAATTCATTAAATCTGTGCAGCAAAAGGCAACTGTTAAGATTATTTGAGGCAAGACAGAATGGGTAAAATTGTAGTTTGTGTTTTAAATGAGGGGTTTTGTTGGTTTTTCTTTTGTTGAGGTGTACAGCACAATGGAGTGTGGAGCTCTGTGCTGTAGTCTGCTGATCATTTATTGAATAAATGAACAGAAAATATGACAATATTACACAAGAAGACTGAGCTCATTGAGATGGACATTAAGGCTGTGAAGTTAGTATGTTATGTGTGGGGATGTAGCTCAGTGCTTTGAAAGTAGGAGGTCTCAGATTAAATCCTCAGCATCCAATTTCTAGCTACTGCTCTTGTTTAATGCATGTTAGGTATTACACAAACTGTATGTGATGTGTTCCTAGTGAGAATGTATATGAATAACAGGGGGAATTGTTGCTTACTTTACATAAAAAATTCAGAGATTAGTCCTGTTTGTCTTCCAGCTGTCATGTTTGTCTTTAGCACACGACCAAACCATGTCATCTTGCTAATATAACATCTCCAAATTGCTCAGCCTTAGATGGTCCTCTGATTTGCTCGATTCTAACACTATCCACCATCCTTCATCTAATTTAAATATCAACCTCATCATCGCTGCCATATCCAGCTTAGGCCACTGCCTTCACATTATACACGGCAGCAAGTCTCACCACTAACTTGTGAATTGTAAGTGATGTTTGACCCTAGAGAAAAGATCTCAAGGGTAAAGGAGATAAAAACAGGGTCAAACTGTTCAGTGACACCATCCAATGCTCATCTTGCCCAGAAATGAAACTTGACTTGACCTACTGCCCCCCTATTTGTATCTATTAAACAACATCTTAATATATAAAAACTGCTGCAATGGGGCATCATTTATTTGTTATTTTACTCTGACCAGTAACAGGTCTATACTCTGTGTCGTTTCTCTAAATAAGGCTAAAAATTATTGAAAACCTGTTTTCCCTCCCCTTCTTCATACTTTGAACAATAGATGAAAACAGTGAATGGGATAAAGGACTGGGAGGGGCCGCCAAAGCAAAGAGGACAAGTGTTTTCTGAAACCTAAGTCAAGAATGCAAACTTGGGAACTGGGACTTTTCCTTAATGGGATGTACTCTGAAAACACACTAGCGTTAGAATAATCTGTAAGATGGACTCTTCTCCTTCTCAGCTTTTAACCTAAGATGTAAAAGGTGTTTTGCTGACTTCAGCAAGTTTGAAAAACATTTTCAGAAACAAACTTACAGTATGTAGGTTGATTATGTTCTGGGTTAGAAAGGATCATTTATCAGGGAAAAATAAAAAAGCTACCATTTCCTTGTTAGTCAGGTGTATTAGAAAAAAGAAAGTCAACACGAAAGTGGATACATGCCATAAATTGAGCAGGAAACTTAAGCTCTGCAGCTAGAGAAATGAAGAATTTTAAGCACAATAACTAATAGGACAGGTAATGTAGAGCACCTTGATATTTCATTGTATTTTCACACAGCTGCAATGATAATCATACATTGTTACAGGTCAGAGGTGTTGAATTAAACATCTTATAATGCAGTTTCTCAAAAGAAGTAATTTAAGTCACAGATTACTAAATTGAGTCCCTGTTAAACAGGACATTTTAAGAAAAACATAAGCGATTTTGTCGATTTAGCCAGGTCTGGAAAGGTTGAGGTTATCGAACAGGAAAAATGTGATACAAAGACATGTCTTTGCCCGAGAATTGGAAAATACTGCAAGACCACTAATTTTCTCAAATGTAAGAGTAATGAGTTTTAAGAGATAAATAGGCAAAGCCAACATGAATGGACAGATACTAGGCATCACAATTTGGCTTCATGCCAGAGTTCCGCGGTAAAGTACAAGGAGGAGAAAAAAGGAAAGGGTGGTGCATGTCTTGTATAAGTAAAAGCAACACAGTGGTAAGCTGGGCAGTCAGAGTAACAGATGGGTTTAAGGTAGAGGCAAGGTTACATCTAGGATCAGCTCTAAACCCCTCCTTGTTAAGGTTCAGAGCTGATCCTTGTTTGGTTTATTCATTACAACGGTAATGAATAAAGACATTAGACAATTAAAAGAACCAAATGTGGTGCTTGATCAATTTTAATAAATGTGAAGTGATGAGTGCAATATAAACAAGACTTCCTATCTGATTGCGGGATTACTTACGTAAGTTGCTGATCAACCAGAAGAGGTGGGTGGGGAGATCACTGTTTCAAAGAAATGTCACCTTTTTGGCTGAATCATGTTGCACTTTACAGTAAAAGGCAACTATTCCCCACTGAGAATCACGACAGTATCACTGAACATTTACACACTGCAGTATGGATAATACCAGAACCAGCCCTTTTATGTTTCCAGGGACTTAAGACAACTGACACCATGTGTGTGAAAAAAAAAGGTTTGTAGCTGTGCAGAAGACCAGCAGATTCAATTAAAGGTGGTAGATGCAATTATCTTAGCAACTTGTCTTATACTACTTCTATACTCCTGTTAAATATTACTGAAAGCCAACACACTGGATAAAATGAAAGGGGCAGGCTACACATTGGTTACAATCACACTCACATCAATTATCAAAGACTCAAGTTAGCCCTTAACCTGATAGTTTAAAATCTGGACTATGAAAGGAAACGTCACACATTTTATCATACTTTTGCTGTCATCTTGACCATACCCTTATTAACACACTTCTTTTTAATCTGTTACATACGTTCTATGAAGTGATTGGCGCGCCAAAGAGACCCAACGTTGACTAGAAATCTACAATATGGCGGCGCCGTAATGGAGACTTTGAGAAAGTCGGTAGGGAGGAACTGGGAGTGTCTTACCTTGTCAACTAAAAGACCGGTTAAGCAACTGTTAGATTTTCTTCCAAACGTTTGTTGTTGTTGTTGTTGTTTTTTTAAAGAATGCCTGTCGTCAGGCACTTCAGACGATACCGGTATATTGTTGAGCAACGTTTTCTTTGCCAGGTTCTTATGCAATGCAGGCCAGTTTGGGTTTTTTTTTTGTTTTGTTTTGTTTTTTAGCTTCCGGTAAATTAAAAAAAATCCCGCGGGCTGTACCCATTGAGAGTAATGATTACATAGGAGGATACTCAATTAGTATGTTGTACGAAATAAATGATAAACGCAAGTATAATTTGTATAGCCTACTATAATGTAATGCTAAGAATTATGTAAAAAATCTTCTCTGCTACCCCTCTCCTCACTCACCAGTATCGTCTGTTTCCTGTAAGGGTAATACAGCTTAAAGGTAGAACATATACAGTATAGGACAAATTTCACTTATTGAAAACATTTCATGTGTAAAGTGATTACAACACACACGATTGATGCTTGTCGTTTTTATTAGCAGAAATAAAGTTTTATAAGGGTCATTTCTATTCAGTTACCTTTTTAAATTCATCCTGAGAATAAATGACAGTGTCTATCATTTAAAAACTCAGAAGGCTCTTTATTTGGGACTTAAGCTATAGAATCACGTTGTTAGATTAAATTTATGAATTTTCAAATTATTGCGTTTTTTACACAAATGTGGCCAAATTTACAATGTCGTACATTGTGTCTTTTGTGTTTTGTCGATTGTTTACTGTAGTCCAGCACGTCAATAAATTACTACTTCCTTACTTTTACCAACATATTAAAAGTTTGTTTAAATTTCTTTTTCAATTCTTATATGAGCATGTCTTTGTGAGTTATAAAAAATCATAGATGTCAGAATGAAGAAGATGAGAAGATGTCTGCAGAAACTTGACAGAAGAGTCTGTAATGACAAAAGCAATAATCATAATTATTATAATGCTAATTATTGTTAGGACTTAATATATAAAATATGCCACATTAAATGTGATAAATAAAGCAACATTGTTTTCACCCAGAATGTCAACTAACAATGCCAGACAGAATTGCCTGATTTTACTCACAAACTCACCACTCACTATTCCACACTTCTTTTTCCTCGGTAGAGCACTGGAAAATAAATTTACATTAAATTAAAAGTCTCCAGAATCTATTAAATGTTTAAATCTTTGTCATTTTAACTTTTACGAGTCACATTGCATTGAGTAGGTAAAGTTTAAGATTTTATTTCATACGTACCAGTGCCAATGTTGTCATCTAAGCAACTCACTGTAACAACAGGAATGATAAAAGCATTTGTAAAATGGCAGAAAATAGTCACATTTACCAGTTGTTGTTTTTTTAAATGAGTCATAATAACAATATCCAACTGTTCTGATGATGTTGTATGCCCACAACTATTTTCATTGAGACCAACCTAAACCTAACATATATCTTTCCTTAGCCATACCAGGACCAGACTTTGGTCTCTATTAGGTCAAGCAAAGGTAATGACAAGCCCAGGAACACACCATAAAAATTCATAGAGGACACAATCTCAAGATAAGCTTTGCAAAAGTTCAAAAGAAATTTTAATTGAACATGTGTGTTACCTTCATAGAGCCTCTCAGGACAAAACAGACTTTTTTCGCCTTCAGCATTCAGTGGAGACACCACTACGTGATATGTTGCTCCACACTGTATGTCAGGAATATCACAGCCACTGGTTCCAGCAGCTGCATTGCAGCTGTATTCGGTATCCAAGATCTCTGCGACATGGTCATGCTCACTGTCAGAGTTGCGCCAGTAAATGTACAGAGTATTTACACTGGCCGTTCTGTACAGCCTGACGTATGTGGGACAGCAGGCACCTGAGGAATAAACAGAGGCTTTTTAAAGACCAATACAGAGACTGGAAATAAGTTAGGTATGGTAGACACCTAAAATATTGTTTTGTTTTAGATCCTGTCAGTAAAAAGAAAGAAAATAGAAGGGTTTCAGTTGAATTACAAAAAAAAAAAATCAAATTAGGCAGCAGGAAAAAGGTGACAGAAGAGGCCACACTAATGTGTTGGAACTATAATCTTAGATTTAAAAGTAGTGTTCATTGTATTCTTATTTCCAACAGTATAATTTAAGCACAATGGCTTTGTACATATATCTTATATCTTAAAGTGTTATTTTACAAATAAAATCCAAATTAACTCAACTGTTCAATCTTGTGCCCCTTTATGTTCACAAAAACGTACCTCGGAAACGGATCTTACCTTTCCTTCAACTCCCCCTGTGAATATTAGTATTAAATTAAGTGTAAATACTACATGGGAGGAAAATACTTTTAGTACAATGGCGCCTCATAGTGGTGGCATGTACGGAATGGTCTGCGCAGACATGAAACAACACTGTCAAAAATGTGTTACTTACTGGATGAGAAGCCCTCGAATGTGCAGTCTTTCTTTTGCCCCCTGTGGTTTATCACTTCCAATTCGACAGTGTAACTTGTTCCACAAGTGATGCATCCCATTAAGCATTCGTTGTCTGCGGTGTGGCAACGGGCGTCTCCGTTGGTCGATGTCAGGGAGGCGACAAACGAACTGCCTCCTTTAGCTTCAGACCACACGACGTTAGACATGGACTGAGTCGCCTGATTCACTGATAGAGTTTCCGGGCAACATGGTACTGAAAAAATAACGTTTGATTCTCACTTAATAAGATTAGAAGAAAAGACAAACTCAATTACAGGAAAAAAATATATTACCTCAAATCTATCTCCTACGTTGTACTTGTTACTTATTATTTCAAGCGCGGAAAACCTAATCTTTAAGACTAACCGTATTAGAGACTCTTGCTGCGTGTATTCTAACTAAAGGTTTGCTGAGTTTTTATTCGTCTATCAGCTCCAAACCTCGTGTTTTACTCACCTGTTTCCAAAGTTTGAGAGTAGCTGGACAAACTCTCACCAGCATCGCCGGATGCTTTCACACTGACCTCGTAGATGGTGCCACACAGAAGACTACTGAGGTCACAGGTGGTACTGGAGGAGGTGCAGGTGACTGTGCCCTCATCACTCACTGCGCTTGCGGTATAATCAGCCTCCACATTGTTTCCTGTCCATGTTACGGTGTAAGTGGATTGGTCTACTTCAGTAAGCGACACATCTGTTGGCGTGCAGGGAGCTATGTGGATTGAAGAGAAAAACAGAGTTATCCATCCATTAGATGAAGACTCATGCAACGCAAATACAGAAAACTAATTATAAACTAATTAAAACATTAACGAGGGAAGTGTCACACCATGTTTTTGTATAGTTGAGATTTTACATTTCCAGGGATGAGATATAGAGGAATTCCTCACAATTAGAAACTTTTGAATCACCTAA